TCTTCGACAATCTTGCTAAGGGCGTTAACGGTGCAGAGCAACGCGCGACGTCCTCTAGCAAGGATCATCATTCGCTGTAAGTAACAAATCGCGGATCTTTAGACTCTGAAGAATGGGTTCATTTATATTAGGACAGGATGCAGATTGCGCGCCGCTGCCCCCGCGCGATGTCTTGCTCAGCGTGCGTACAGGCAAAAGCCGTCAGTTTGGAAACGCCAACTTCCGGACTGCGATCCACAAACGGGCCCGAGAGGGGAAGCTTAATGTGACAACATTGGGCATTGTAGGAGATGAGCAGACTTTCGAGAGCCATGGTGGTCCCGACAAAGCCCTACATCAATATTGTTCCAGCCACTACAAGATATGGAATGCTGAACTGCCCGACCGGGCGCATCTGTTCAAGATCGGCGGGTTCGGCGAGAACTTGTCGACGGCGCATATGTCGGAGGGAAATGTCTGCATCGGAGACATCTATCGCATAGGTCTTTCGCTTATAGTGCAAGTCACCCAGCCAAGGCAGCCCTGCTACAAGCTCAATCATCGCTTCGAACACAAAAAGGCATCATCATTGTCCCAGTCATCTGGTCGCACCGGTTGGTATCTCAGGGTTCTCGTACCTGGCCAGATCGAGCAAGGGGATGATATCGAACTCATTGAACGAATTCACCCCCAGTGGCCGTTATCTAGGGTGCAAAAGTATCTCTATCATGACCGAGATAACGTTGCGGCAATGGCCGAGCTCGTCGGTCTGGCCGCTCTTGCAGATGAGATGCGTGATGTATTCAAGAACAGGCTCTCTCGCGGCACTGAAGACATGACTGGTCGTCTCGATGACCAGACTTCCGTTGTCTGGAAGTCTTACAGGCTTGCTGCTAAAGTTCAACTGACATCGCGAATAAGCCAATTTATTTTCGAGAAGGCTCAAGGTGACGACGACGATGTCGGCAATAACTACATTGCCCGTTTCCAACACGTACGTCTGCGGTTCGGTCCAGATTTGAGCTTCACCCGCGCGTACTCTGTTGTCTCCGGGGATATGACCCGATTTGAGCTAGGCATCGCAAAGGATGATAAATCGCGGGGAGGATCCGCTTATCTCCATGACGAGATGAAAATTGATGCCATCGTCAAAGTCGCCAAGGGCCACGCCCCCGACGTTATCCCAGTCGCTACCAATGAACCATCTCCTCGCAAACTGAAGCACATTTTCATCATTGGTGGGATTGGAATCACCGCATTTCTTGCCGAAATTAAAAGACTTTCGAACTCGGGCTCAAGTCTAGAAGTCCACTATGCGGTGCGTTCGATTGCGGATGCGGTTTATTTGGATCAACTCCCAGCAGAGTGCACTACAGTCTACGCGAGGAGCGAATACAGTCGATTAGATGTTACCCGCATCATTCCTAAGCCTCATGTTCAAGGAAGTCCTGTTTGCATCGTGTACTGCTGTGGGTCTTCCTCGCTCCTCAAGAGCTGCCGAGACTGGACAACAACGATTGACTATCCTGTAAGCAAGACTCATTTTGAAGAGTTTGGCGATTCCACGACGGGCACAGGAGATCCATTCGAAGTAGAAATCAAATCTACAAGGCAAGTTTTCCATGTGCCACGTGAGGAGTCGCTCTTAAGCGTTCTACTTGATGCAGGTCTTGAAATCGACTCGTCATGTCTCGTCGGAAATTGTGGGACTTGTATGGTAGATTACTGCAAGGGCGAGATCTCGCATCGGGGGACAGCGTTAGGGGCGGAACAGAAAACCAAATCCTTGCTTGCTTGCGTCAGCCGCGGCAAAGGGAGAGTCATCTTGGACTACTAGTTGCTTGACCGTTAGCATTTATTATGGGCTTAGGCAAATTATCTCCGTTTATAAGCTTTTTGGTCATTGAATGAATAGATGCCATGTCAATAACTACTCGTAATGTCGAAGTCAAGCGAGTCACCTTCTCTTAAACAATCACCAACAGGGATTGCGCATCCCTATTACTGACAAGATGGGGCATCGACCATGTCGTGACGACGAAGTTATTGTGAAGAGGATCCAAATATTGATCAAGGTTTATTTGAAAGCCTAAAGGGATACAACCGAGGATAATCATAGGATGTGCAGTTTACAATTTACTCAAAACTCCCATAATTCTAATCCAGTGAATGTATATGGAGACTTGGTTTTCTTGACAGCGCCAAATGATATGTGGTCTCTCTTATCTAGGACATTCTTATCAGGTACCTATACTCACGCATAATTTTAGACTCCGTCTTCTTTCTTCATCAGACTCAACTGGACTGGTTGTAATACGTCGCCGTCTCCTGTTACCAGTAGCAAGGCAAGCACATCCAACTTTCAGGAAAAGGCAATATCAATTGGGCTTAGTCAGATGCCTACGTTCGTCAAGCATCTATTTGAAGGACTTTCATGCTTATAGGTGATATCAATGTTCTCAGGTAAAGCAATTTCATAATTCGTAGTCTCAGGCTGCGTTCGTTCATCTGTATAGATACTGAAATATGTCTGACCATATGAGTAGACACTAAGTCCTCCACCAAGACGCCAATCGGCACATCGCCCATGTATATCCAGTTCGAAACGACAAGCATGTCTTCGAGAATCACGAAATTTGAAGGTTTAACCCTCAACAATCGATTATAAAATGCTGCGATTGGAAAAGACCGAACACGGTAACCCGCCCTAAAGCATTGTCCACATCGTTGTTTGAACCCCCAGATCTGTTGTTCTCTGTCCTAACGAGTAGCATACATCCCTCTAGATGATGCAAAAGTCGCATGGTATCGGGCATGGGATGCAGAAACAGAATCTGCCGGGGCACATCCCGCTGCGGTCGCCGCCACGCAACCCTAAAGCATTCTCTGGCGACTCAGCGTGGGGCTGTTGGGGATCTGACCAAAGTATATTAGACTGGGAATTCAGATTTGACGACTGACAATTGAAGGACTCATTGCATTGCATACCCATGGCTTGAGAAGCAGTCGGTTGCGTGCTCTGGATGGGTTGAGAAGCGTGGCTCTCATTTGTACCCGAGGCGTCTGAGATTTGAGGCTGTGAGGGGGACATGTTGCGGCTGAAATCTCAGATTGAAACCGATAAACGAATGGGCTGGTCGATAGATCAGATGGGATGTTTCCTTTGCAAAGATCAAAGCGATGTCTCGAGAGAAGATCCTCGAGAAGGCCGCGCGTAATCGCAGCAAGAGATCCAGTGACGAGGGCGGTGTGTGGGCAGTATTCCCGCTTGTTTGGATGACGTCATCAGCTTTACACTACGGCCTGATTCCGCCGCCCGCTTGACAGTTACATTAAACAAACAGGACAGACAAACAAGAGAGCAGGGCAGAGACAAGGGTTACTAACCTCGAAGCTGGTAAGCCGCAAGAAGTACCCCTTCATCCAAATGTATTTCTCGCTCTACTAATCAGTCGTTGTCTTGCAGCTCAAGCCCAATGGCTGGCTAGTCAAGAGCGAGAGCTTCATTCTGTCTTCATTGGATAACCCTGCTATCCTTTGGTAACCGGAACGCGATGGCCATAGCGCACCAGGGCTATGACTGCGTTCGCCACAAGACTCCTCTCGAGTGACTTTATTTTCACCATTCCACAACTTGGCAGGGTTATCCTGTCTTGTGACATGCCCTGGGCTGTGTTCACTATCCTCGCATTTCTCCCCGCCCTAGCAGACGAAACATTTTCACGGCAAGTTACCATCTGTTTCCTCTTTTCGCTTTGAATCGCTTAGAAACAGGCTTAAAAATATTGGTATCATATTCGGGACCACATTCAGCGAAAGACTGTGCCATACATTAATAAATTTCAACTATGAAAGTTTTGGAGGAACTTGACTGACAGACTCCAGCGTGGTCACTGTCCGTCCACTGGTCTAGATCTGATGAAAAAACATGCTTATGAACTCCTGGCCATCTTCCTGTTGCTTTTGATACAAGCTGAATGAGGAGGGCCGGAGCAAATAAAGCTTAACGCAGCCCTCGGTTTTGCTTCTCAAAATCATCGATTCTTTCTGGCCTGTTGCTCAATGGAAAGGCCCGACCCCTTGAGCGTCGATGTCGTGATATCATGAGTGCATCATTACATGAAAGCAGCAACCTGGCTCCGTCTTGAATACGTATGCAATGGCATTCAAACTTTCAACAACAGTTCGGACGTACACCTCTCTGAGCAATCACCTTTGCTTACTATGGTCGTGGTCGTTTCTATCATCCCGGCTAATGCCGAGTTTGTGAACTGTGTCCAGTGCAGCTTGCCTAAATGCTCAACAATTAATCTGTCAATCCCGAATACCCCTAAAGGTGTTTGCGCCCCACTATTAAGAACATCAATACGCTTCCCGTTAGACTCTTGATTATAGCCGCCATGTCACGCATTTCATCAGACTCCTTCCAACCGGCTTTCGCCTGGAGATGTGTCTTCCGAACGATACACCGCGAACTGCCAAGACATATATCATTAAAGTAATCCAGCATGTGGCCGGATGGAGACTATGTGCCAAGATTCCATGTTTGGCAGTCCAAACCCGTTGTCAGGGTGCTGTATATAGGAACAGTGACCCCGTCCATCGCTACAGTAGCTTTAACAATGTAATCGATCACCCTGATCTCGAGAGCCTAATCTAAGTGGGCTGAGCATCGACAACCATGCGCTGGTTAGACATCGCTGCAGGTCTCGTCGCCATGGTGAGCACTGGTAAGTGGTCCAAGTGGAACCGTGATATTCGGGCTGATTTGTGGCTCTCCTACAGCCTTCGCGCAGTCGAGCCCGGCGGCAACACCATTTCCAACCAGCTGTTCAGGCGTGTCTTCCGCGAGATACCAATATACCCTAGCAAGCAATTGGCGAGCGACGAAAATTGCAGGCAACTTGAGACAGCCAAGAACGATTGTCTTTGATCCTCTCGGGAACATGCTCGTTTTGCAAGCTACCAACGGCATTTCGGTTCACACATTCGGCGCCGATGGATGCATCAATAGCACGACTATGCTTGTCACTAACAGAGCCCTCAACCATGGCCTTAGTCTTACTCCAGATGGCACAACACTCTATGCTAGTGGAGAGACCACGGGCTACTCGTGGAGCTATGATCCGGCGACACGGAAACTTGGAGCCTCAAAAGTTGTTGTTAAAAACATGGGTAGCGGCGTTCACTCAACTAGGACCATGGTTGTGGTGCCCGGCCACCCAAATCTCGTTATTGTCACGGTTGGGAGCAATAACAATTGGGACTACCAAGCAGGTGATGCGGCAACTGGGCGAGCATGTGCGAAGGTCTTTGATATGAGCAAGGTCCCGGATGGAGGCTACGACTACAAGTCTGGAGGCTGGCAGCTGGGCCATGGCTTACGCAACGAGGTCGCCATAACACTCGATCCCAACAATATGGCTTGGGGTGTTGAGAATAGCGGAGATGTAGGTTATGCTGAAACCCTGACTGGTGTTTTTTTCCCATGCTTACGGGTCCTTCGCGTAGGATTTCCGGCGAACGGTCAATGGAGCATCCACCGATATTCACATCGACAACCCTGCAGAGGAGCTCAATTACCGTAAGTGGTCTGAATTTATGGGATGTCCCGAGTCTCCTATACTAACAATGGCCATTAGTGGGTGATCCTACAAAGCCAAACAACAACTGGTACGGGTATCCTACCTGCTTCACAGTCTGGAGCCCGTCCTTGATTCGGGACAAGACTTTCCAAACTGGAGATCAGTTCGTCGTTACGCCCAACTCTTCTTTCAGCGATGCGAACTGCGCTACCAAGGCAATTCCACCACGTCTGTCATTCCCGGCTCACGTCGCGCCAATCACGGCAGCCTTCGACGCGGACGCTAAGAACATGTACATCACCTTTCATGGGTCTTGGGACCGCCAGCCTGCCATCGGTTACAAGGTGGTCGAGGTTCCCTTTACACAAACAGCTGAAGGCCAATATGATCCGGTGGCCAAGAGTGACAGCCAGACAGGGTTCACAGATGTTATTGCAGCAAGCAATCCTGGGGGTTGTCAATCTCAAAGTCTGACACAGAGCAGCTGTTGGCGATTGGCAGGCCTCCAATGGGATCCTGCTGGCACGAGGTTGTTTGTGTCTAGCGACAACAGTGCTGAGGGAGAGATTTTTGTTCTGTCAAAGAAGACTTAGCCTTAATCCTCCTTTGCAAGAGAGATCAGATTGATATGGATGTTTTGCGATTAGCTGTTTAGATCATGAGCATGAGTAGCAGGAACTTCTTCGTTCCTAAATAATGTTCCAGTGATGAATATTCGCTGCATTTTGTGAAGCAAGCCCGAATAATGTGCTAATGCATCTACTATCTAAGCAGATGCATTATCCCGTCACCTCCGCAAAGATGGAAGTAAGGCAGCTGATTGCTATATCATGCGAGACTGGATTTGCAGCCTTTCTTAGAGAGAGCTTGCCAATTGCCGATAGACGAGTCTGGCTGACATCATGCAAGTCCAGCCGATCCCCTTCAACCTCGTATGTAATTACTCAGGGCTAGTGAATGCAACGGCGGCCTAGACGGGATATCATCAATTGGTTCTAGCCTCTTCATAGTCTATGGCTATGTACTACTTGTGGCTTTCACGACGTCAATACATGACGTTTCGGGAGACCGGCCTCAACGGTATTGCAGGGTTTGCCCCTCGTTTAGCTGTTGCCGCCTGCAGGGTCATGGTGACGGAGGTATAAATGCTCAATTATAGCCTACCGATCGACATCATTGTTCCTTGGTCAATAACATTGACGAACGAACGAACTAAGATTAGAAAGTCCAGGTAGGTCCAAGCTGAAAAAGTGAAGTAGGGAGCTGAATATGTCGTCAGGCACTCCAAAGAGGCCGTTGTTGTGCCTGGCATGGTTTCTTGTGGCGTCGATCTGCGGTCCAGGGCTTTCGCGTTGCTATCGTGCCTGCCGTCATACAAACACCATGCCCAGCAGTACAGGAGTATATTTCTTTACATCAGCATATTCCGCGTTTCAAAGGATTTCCTTGAGGTTCTACAATTCTGCAACACGAGAAAGTCACTAATTCATAATTCAATACAATCTGACTACCTCTTCCCCACCAAGATGAAGATCACGTATGCTCTTGTTCTGCCCTTGGTGGCAAGCGTGTTTACATCACCCGTCGTTCACAATGCTCCTGTCCCAGCGGTGAAACCCCGTCAGTTGGAATCCCAGTCAGCCGTCATTAGCAGCTTATCTCAACTAGTTATCGAGCATACGGCTGCGATTAGTGAGTTCATATGAAAGTAATTTGGGTGTGCCATTGTACTAACCCATTAGACTCCACGTTGAAAGCGGTATCTGCGACACCAAGTGACGTCGAGATTGCTGCCGCAGTAGCTCAAATAGCGCCCGAACTAGTAGCCATCACCGACTCCTTGACCGCAGCGACTACTGCGGTCTCGAAGCGTGCTTTCAAGTCCGTTGCTTCAAGGCAGGATGCATGTGATGCAGAGTGTATCGCCGAGCAAATCGTGGCAATTGTGTATGAAATCACAAGCACAATTCGAGCTATCATTGAGGAACTTGGTCTAGGTAAGTCACATTACATTCCGCATGTTCATCAGACTCGAATCACTAATTGATGCTTGTTCAGCTCCTGTTGTTGTATATATCAATCCTCTTCTCTTGGCTCTCAGCGCCTTGGTTATTTCACTTGATGTTCTTGTCACTGGTCTTCTTGTTACTGTCACGGCTGTGGTGAACACGATTCTGCTCGGCCTAGGGCTGAGTCTCGCTGCCCTTGGTTTTGGAGCAGCCTAAACGGTAAGCACAAAGATTAAAGCATCAAGAGAAACTATCAGTTCATCAGTATCGCAATGTAATTAAAAGTCTTGTTATTGTGTATCATATTGTGTGGATTTGGTCTTAGAGATGGCCGGTACAGCAATCATGATGCGTACCCTCTTTCCTATTAGTCCTGATAGTTTGAAAGCTGTAGATGACCTCAAGTCAATGAGGGCACAGTCCATGGCGACCAAGTATCGATACTGAACCCGCTATAAGTCTGATCTGTACGGAAGATGTTTGTCGTACCAGCATTGGCATTTCCCACCAGGAATTTGTTTATGAAAGCATTCAACTCTGTTTGTTGTGCACTGGGGAAGGAGCAATGACTGTGTCCGCCAACCTGACTGTAGCCGAAGGAGTCCAAAGAGCCCAATGCTTGGTACTGCTTTCTAGCAGCTCCCATGCAGCCATACGTGCTGATCTTTCCAAGCCACTCATAATCCGGGTTCTCCATAATGTAAAGTGGCCTGGGAGCTACCAATCCTGCCAACTCGTGATGGTCAAACGGTAGCGAGTTGACATTATTCACATAGCTGTTGAAGTTTGGACTGAACCAGACATTCTCACCCACAATCTCCTTCGCATCTTGGACTTGGTATCCATTGGCATTTTGCCAACTTTCCAGACGCCAACAGCCAGCGCCACCGGCGCCTGACTCCTGTGGCAGAGTGAGGGCAATGCGTGAATCAAAGGCGCCTGCAACGAATGCCCCCTTTCCATTGCGCGAGCATCCCGTCACGCCGATGCGTTTTGGGTCAATACCTGCTGCTGGCGTCTTCTCGAGAGCATCAATGATTCGAGAAACGCCCCAAGCCCAAGCTGTCATAGCACCAGCATTATGTCCACTCCCATACAAGTCGTAAAACTTGCCTTTTCCACGACTAGATCCGTCCTGTTGTGCCGCCATGTCATCGTTGTTGAAATTGATTGTGGCGACCGTGTTTGGAACGGGAATGCTGGCACCATATGTGCCGTAGTTGATGATGGCTGGAAAAGGTCCATTCCCGGACGGCTTGGATATGGTGACAGAGAACGAAATTGACTTTCCACCATCGGAGATAGTGATGGATAGCGTTGTTCCCGAGTACGACGCCGAGACGCTCAACGGTGCTGCTGGCATGGTGCCGAGTTCGTATTTCTGAAAGAGAGCACTCAATTCCGCCTGACGGCATGCCCAATCTGCCTTCGTGGAGACTCTTTGACCACCAGCAAAAGTAAACGGATCCGGGAGTATAGAGGTGGAAGAGGCAGTCCCGGGGATTGTGGGACAAGCCGTCGGCTGAACCGAGGAAGAAACAGTCAAGGACGAGGGCGAGGACGAGGATCTAGCAGTTGTCGTTGTCGTCGTCACGGTATTTGTGGAAGTCGCGAGGGTCGTTGAAGTTTGAGTCGTAGAATCAGCACCTGGAAGGCATTGGTAATAATAACTATTTACGATCGAGCAATGTGTGCCACTGACACAGGTTGATGGGCCAGTCCACCCTATCCCTCCACATTGTCCCCAAACAGTTTGCTGAGCATTGACTAAGGCCGCAAAGGCAACAATGATGTATTTCATGATTATGCCTACCTGCATTTGCTAGTCGCATTTCAACACCCAGTGAAGATATTTCGTGGCCCAGAATGTCCTTCTATTTATATTCTTGCTGCTACACTGTGTTCGTCACCAATTACATGTGATGCTATGTTTTGTCATGAGTGCTTACTCCTGGTACTAAAACGTTCGCGTTTTGCTAATAACTTGCATTCATAGATTGAGACTTCGACTGTGTAGCCTAGTTCAATGCGTAGTGATGATTTTGGCGTGGTGTTGTCAAAGTATTTAGGCGATTTAGCCTGAATGATGTGTAGCATCGTGGGCCTCCACAAGCTCCTAAAGTCGATGAAAGTATGGCTCGGAGTCAAGTTGAATTCTCGAAACGGATAATATTTGTGTGAGCTTTCCTTTTGTAGTTTTCCGTTGAAGCAATGCCCCACTCAACGTCTGTGGTGGTTGTTAGAACCTGGCTGTTGCTAATTTTCCATTGCATTTTCGAACCAGTGCCCTGAACTAGATCGAATTACGTGGAGGAACTTGAACTCAGATGGATGATCTGGGCAGGTGGTAGAATGAAGTCCCCCGCATGATTGACCCAACTCAGCAGTCCCCTATAACGATGATAGCACGGGAATAATCCCTCCGATGGTTTCTTTGACTTAAGTCGGAGATCCGGATGACAGGAGTCGGAAAAGGGTGCTTATGTCTAAGTCAATGCCAAGAAGCGATGTGACTTACTCCGCAATGGAAATTGTTAACACTCTCTTGAACGCGAGGATCGTAGGTAACAAATTGGGTCAGATTGGCAAACCGGGCAAGATATTGCAGAAGGAGATATTTCCAGAACACCGCTGGGCCATGAGGCTGACAACGAGATGGCTGTTTTATCATGTCTAGAGCACTGCTTGATGCTCTGTGCTTTGTAGAAACTACGAACTTCGAGGCAATGCTAAGACAACCACGCAAATCTGCGTGAAACTTGGCCGTCTTGCATTGCACCAGTAGTGTTCTTCATACAAGTCGTTGATTGAAATCCTAGGCCGTGACCATTTGTATGCGACCCTCCAACCTCGGAGCAATGGCTTTGGTCCAGCCGCATGTGAACTCCTCCTCTTTGAGATTCTCGCCGCACACAGCATGTACTTTCGCGATACGACACCATTTTCTGAACACTTTCCGCATGATTCGAAGCTCGTTATCCACTTTCTGCACATCGCCCTCTCCGACTTCTGGGGCGAACTCCTCCAAATCATCTTTAAGAGGGGTAACACTTGACCTGCGGTCACGTATCCTTGAAGCCGTCCAATTCTCCCACCCGTGATCATCCGTGTCGGGACTTGCCACCGCCACCGAGTCACGACGCTGTGAACTTGGCTCCATGTTGGGATGGGATGTAGCGACTCCGGAGATGACTCTGCCCCAGTGCCGGTCCATGGATGGTCCCAGTAGATGCCACCGGTCGAGCACCTTGAGGGCCATGAAGTACTGCCGAAGCATCATGGAAATCAATATACCGTTTTCTTCTGAGACAACCACCTCGGCGTCACCTCCTTCCTCTTTTATCAGGAGGCTAGTGTAGCCATCTGATGGCCCGAGGTTAGTCTTCAGTTGTGATCAAAGCGCAAAAGGAGCGTCTCACCTTTGCCACGACCCATGTAGCCCCTCGTAGCTAAGACGTACACGCGGTCCTCCTGAATAGGGCCATCTCCAATCTCGGCAACTGTGACGCGGGACCCGACTTCACGAGAAGGGTCAAAGGCGAACTTGATGTTGGAAACCTGAGGGAAGCGTCCTTCGAGCGCAGGGTACATGGCGACGCCGTTTTCCAACGCCTCTCGGATAGCCTTACCTGTAACTTTGATAACCACGACCGGATCCTCAAAAGGGAAGCAATCTGTGATGTCCTTGACCCGTATCGGGCCAGGCGGGTAGATCTGGTCTCCGCGGATCGTGCCTGCGGCCATCAAGGCACAGTCTGCATCGTAATGATGTCGCATGATGTCACAGACAAAGTTGCCGATGTTGCTCTCCTTCAAACGAACAGTGGTAAACCGAGCATCAAGCGGAGCCGCGGTCCAGCCGACGGGCTTCTCGAGAGATTGCTTGAGCCTGGCGGTGAGCTGGTCTGCCAGCTCTAGAGTGGGCTTGTGCTCTGCGATGGATGAGACAACGTCTCTGCGGTAGATGACAAAGTCCCACTTTCCGGCGGTGCCCGCCCGCCGAGCCTCGAGGTAGCTAAGCTGTTTGAAGTCGGTGCCTGATCGCAGGACATGACAGCCGTTGATGAAGCTATGGGCGTAGAAGTGGTCGTGACCGCCGAGGATGAGGTCGATCTCACCACCTAGGTTCTCTGCGAGCTTGTTGTCATTGGGCTCGCGCATGTGAGTCAGCGCCACGATCATCTCTGCGCCCTCAGCACGGAGCCGAGGGATCAACTCTCTGGCTGTCTCGGTTGCGGACCGGTATATGAGGCCCGGCGGCAGTGCGTTGATTGTCTCCAGCCACTCGCGCTCGCCGAGGCCGATGATGCCAATCTTGATGCCGTTTGAGGAGGTGATGATGTGTGTCCTTTTAGCGTTGCCGATGGGGACATTGTCGCCCAGGGCCGGGTCGAGGACGTTTGCTATTAGCCAGGGGAACTTGCACTGGCCTGTCAAGTGGCGGAATTGCCTGACACCAAAGTCGAGGTCGTGGTTGCCGACGGCAGCGCAGTCGGTGCCCAGGTTGTTGAGGATGGGGACCATGTGGCTGCCCTTGGTGACGGAGCTCTCCAGGGAGGGGTTGAAGGCATCGCCGGAGAAGAGAGTGATGCAGGCAGGCTGGTCTCGAAAGCGGTCTCCTTCCTGATACTCCTTGCAGACGGTCATGAAGCGGGCGATGCCGCCAACCGGCTCGGCGGAGGAGGCATCGAGGTGATAGACGTCGTTGTAGTGAATGAGGCGGAGGTCAGGCGGTGGGGCAGACGGAGAGGAGGGCGGCGAGCCAAAGGTGAGGACTTCCTCCGCCGTTGGCTTGCTCGAAGTCTCCTGGGGCGGCATCCTCAGCTGCTGTGTGCTATCCAACCGGGTTGCCGGTGATGTGATATGGTACGGGCTGCCGGCAAGCTTCCGGGTCGGGAACCACGGCTGCCGGAGGGCCTGACCGCTCACGCTCGCCAGCAGATCTTCCCTTCCGGTTAGCAGTTTAACAGAATGGATGGCGTGAATGCAGACAGATTCAACAACCACTCGTCTTCAATCGAATCGAATCGAATCCGGCGGGTAAAGGCGATGGTCCTGAATGGAACAAGAGTCAAGTCTACTATGCTCTGCCCGGCAATGGCAATGGCAATGGCAATGGCAATGGAAGAGCGTGCATTGCTTTGCTTGCATTTGTGGCGGCAATCCAATGTGTGGAATCACAGGTGCAGCAGGTCCACGACGGCCTACTCAGCACAGCCACTTTGAGCAGGTACGGTACTTTTGCGGAGGTAAGTTACGCACGGCAGCACGGAATAGATGAGATGAGATACCGGTACCTACAGTAGATAGTTTATAGGCGTGCCACCACCACCACCACCACCACCACCATCGGCGGTCTGATGGAGATAACAAGTCAGGCAGGAGTTAACAAGACAAGACATGACAAGACAATAGAGTCGAGTCAGTGGACAAGAGTCTTTACGGGCAGTGAGAGACTCGGAAAGGAGAGGATGACCATTGCGGCGTTTCCAACTGGTTACCTAGGTACCGTAGGTACCTCACCTTAGGTAATAAGCCCCTGGAATGCATCGATAGTGTAGGTACATCACCTACAGTAGGTACCTAGGTACCTAGGTACCTCCCTAGGTAGGTTGGGTGCCGGTGCCCAGGCTCGAGCCAGGGCAGTCTGAAATAACAGGCTGCTCAGCTAAGAACCTTAACCTTCTTTCTTGGTACCTTGCCTCCCTTAGGTAATCGATACACGCTATTCAACTTGGATTGGGGGTGGGGCAGCGCTAGAAAATAGGTAAAAAGAACTGGGAAGGTGTGAAGATGCGCAAGTGCGATGCACTAGTCTGCTACCTACCTACCGAAACAAGAGACACATAAGGAAAGGTACAGTACAGTACACCTGCATGTAGGTAGCTAAAACACTTACCGCTCAAAGTCATCACAAGGGCGTTTTTCCACCATCAAAACTTCTCTTAGGACATTCACTTGACTTTTTAAATGTTGAATTGAATCATTCGCATTCGTGACACACGGCATCACTTCTCAGTCTACGTGTGACGATATTGACCATACAGTAACGTTATCATCAGCAATCGATGCTGTCGTCACTCGAAGTTGTTCCTCAATCGTAACATCCTGCCTGTCCCATGCCCCTCCTCGAGACTGTCGGCGGCAGGCATCACACAATATAATATAACATGGCTTCAGAGACTGCAACAGTCAGGCACGCCAGACTGGAAGGTGTGTTCAAAATATTGCTTGCCACATATCTATATATCTATGAATAGACGCTGACATCCCCTCTCAGATGTCCCTGCTATCCTGCAGCTCATCCGTGAGCTGGCGGATTATGAGCATGAGATTGACTCTGTCGAGGCCACCGAAGAGAAGCTAATCTCTACCATCGCCTTTGCTCCATCGTCATCATCATCAAGCTCCGGCTCCTCCGGCACAGGCCCTGCTGGGCTGCCCGTGACGGAGCCCACGTCTCCCCAGAAGCCCGCCCGATGCCTGCTGGTCATCTCACCCGCCACCGGCGCTCCCGTCGGCATGGCTCTGTACTTTTACAACTACAGCACCTGGCGCGCCCGCCCCGGCATCTACCTCGAGGACCTGTTTGTCCAGCCCTCCCAGCGTAAGAAGGGTTACGGCAAGCTCCTCCTCGTCCAGCTCGCCAAGGAGGTCATCGCCATGGACGGCGGCAGGCTCGAGTGGGCGGTTCTCAAGTGGAACGAGCCCAGCATCAAGTTCTACGAAAGCATCGGCGCCCAGATGATGAGCGAGTGGGTCGGCATGCGTGTCGACAGAGAGGGGCTGGTCAAGCTGTCCAAGCTGCTTGACTGAGAGAGGGCTCTCCAGCCCCGTGCTTTGATGACTTTATATCATTCCCGAAAAGAGCCTTTACAGGACCAGGATAGATAAAATAGAAAGAGCAGAGAAGCTAGACCTGCCAAGCTTTGCATCATGGTGAAGACATGGGTGACCTGGTTGCTGATGATGGCTTAGCTCGAGACAGCGTCCGGTCGGTGGCGCCGTTCATATCCAGTATTTCAAAGAATTCCTTCTGTTCGGGACTGCATTCCGAAAGAGCCAGATCTGCGCCTCCCCATCTGATATCCCAAGCGTCCTTCGTGCCTTGCCGCTTCTCCATGGTCGCCGTGAGGCCCCATAGCTTAGCATACGTGCGCCTCCAGAAGCGAGGGGTGTAGCGGTGGATGTGCAGCGGCTCGCCCTGCCCGTAAGGTCCATCGTCGATCTCTCCGCTCAGCAGCTTGAGGCGACGAGATCTTTGCATCTCTAGATGACGGACGGCATTCTGTGCCAATCTCTCCCAGTCCCAGGCCGCCAGGCCGTGTGTCACACTCGACTCTCCGGCGACGGGCCTGCGTGCAGGGACTTGCCACAGCTCGGGCTTGGCCTGCCCGGTCGCCAGAGCCTGCAAGAGCTCCCACTCGCCCTTCTCGACGGGCGGGAGCACACGATTGATCATGTCCTTCCAGCCCTTCCGCAGCTTTGTTCTGTACACCTTGGGGTACAGCGGGTGGCCAAAGGAGTTCTCGGTGGGGAGGTTGGCAGCAGGATCGAGCTTCCTCTTGGTCCTGATCTTGGGCCGAGGGCTGTCGGCGAGAGAAAGGCTGGCTTGGGACTTGACGAACTGGAGCAGCTTGGGCAGGTGCCACTGATCGAGAAAGTCGGACCGCCTCGGTTGTGTGTTGTCGGTGTCGTCATTGTTGCGGCCTGGTCTCTTGTCCTTGTCCATGTTCTTGATGTGTTTGGTCAGCTCGATGCTGTTGGCGGGCGGGTCAGGGGCCACGAGGTGATTGATGAGCTGACGTCGTCTAGGGCCGGCACGACCGAAGCAGAACAGCAGGATGCGGCGCATACGCGGCATATCACCGGCGTTGGCGGCGCGGAGGTAACGCAAATCATGGCTGGCTTGGTGGAGGTGACGGTCAGGCTCGGAGTCTCGACGGTGGCGGCGGAATTGGAGCTGGATGCGGCTTGTGACGTAGGGCCGGCAGACGGGCGGGAGATAGCCGGCCTCACGGAGGAGGTGCCGGTAGAGATGAATGGGCGAACGCGGCTGCTCCGGCCGAAGAGCGCCCATGATCCGATGAGAGGCGATGTGATGTGATGTGATGTGATGTGATGTGAGGCGAGGTCGAAGCCGGGAGAATGCGAGTAAGCGGGACACCTAGTTATGGCTCGCCAACGAAAAACGGCGATCAACTCAAGCGTATGGATGATTCTAGATGGATAGATCGACTCATTCGTGCATCATGTGTTTCGTCTTTTGTCTCGAGGCTTCCCAAGCAGGTTATCGTGCGAGGATTAGCTTGTGGAGAGCTTATGGTAACCTACTAAGGACCGACCTGGGAGGAACAAATTCTGCTGATAAGATAAGAGCTCTTCACACCTGCGGTACCCACCCAGGTATATGTAGGCACCCGGACTACCTACCTACATGTAGGTAGACCTTATTAATCTGTCGACATTGAATCTCCAGCCTTCTAATGTAGGAGGGACTGACTGTAGACACTGTGAGTACTGGGTATCTCATCTTGTGGATATACTCTTCGGCTGTCCCTGTGTGAGGCAAGACGATTCGATGTATCTCACTATCAGTCAAGGTACATGTACACACTGGGAACACAAGAAGCCCACCTGGGCAACCTGGAAGCCAACACGACAGGGATAACGCGACCTGTGAGGGGCCACTTTACGCGCAAAACGCGACAGCAGGAAGGACGCGACACTCAACTAACTCCCTTGATGATCCATCTGCATGTACCGATGCACGAATGTTATGCATGTCATTTCGCGTCGCTTAGAGTTTGCAATGCAGTAGAAAGTCAAGAGAACAGTTGATGATCCGAGCATCTGAGGTACCTGCTATGCAGACACCTAGTCTCCTACAGTAGCAAGGCACCTTCAAGACTGAAGAGAGAGAGTGGGTTGCTTTCCCGATGCAGTAAGGACATTTTCACCACGGCCTACGCATTAGACATCTCACTTATAAAACGCATCTATCGTACGTATATATGAAGAAAAAAACGAGCGCCTTTCTACGCCGGAGGTTAGTTTGGTAGCTACCCACCGAATAACCCAGTCTCTACCTTAGGAAGGATCTCAATTGCCAGACTTGTTTGTAGCAGGGAGGACGGCCGGGTCGGGTAGGTTAGTCGTGACTCGCCCAGGCCGCGCGCCAGAAAATCGCGAATCTGACACGACTCACACGACCTTTTTCTTCCCATTTACGCGCCCCTGCGCGCCGACTGGTTCCAGTTTCCACAGACCCATTGTCTAATCAGCCTCTTAACCTCAGATGTAGGTACCTATCTAAAGGAGCAAAATACCTGAGATGGGTTAGATGACCAAGGCTCACGTTGCTGGAGATACTTGAGATACCTGCAAGTACTGAAGGTAGGTAGGTAGGTAGATAGCTAGGTAATTGGTAATAGGTTAGATAGACCGAAGGCGACCTCGAACTGGTAGGAGTTCAGTTGAGTTCAATCAAATCTAACTGGTTCATTGATTGATTATTTGCTTCCTTGGTTACAATTGAACCATTCATTGGAGCTGCCCTTAAAGAGCCTCACATGACTTCTTGTTCTTGTTCTTGTTCTCTTCCAAAGTGTTAAATGCCCCATGCCTCGCGTGTTAGGAGGTACCTAAGGTTAACCCCCGGCTGAGATGTCTCTGGTCTCTTCATCTCTGTGATTGGATTGAGTTGATATCTACGAGATAGGTACGATACATCTCCCACTCTAGCTCACTCTGCCTTTTTGTTTCCGCATCGACTCTATCTTTACCTATAGGTAGGTATAGGTATCCCTTCTGGACTGGACTGGACTGGATTGGATTGAATTGCACTGTCCTGTCTTCCCTCGACTCCATCTTGAGACTCGACAACGACGACGGCGGCGACGGCTACGCACATTCTGATTGATCGATTAATCAAGGAGCACATCCATCTCACGTTCTCAACTACCTAGGTACTGTACCTATCTGAGCACTAGACTGTACGTACTTGCTTGTGCTGCAACTTGAAGCATTCCCCCCCGGTGATGTGATGGGTACAATTAGAATGGGAGGGTTAACGCGTGCGCACGCGCCGCCGCTGGCTGGCTTGCAAGGGGTGGGGAGTCGGAGTGCTAACCTATCTCAGTGTACCTAACCCTAGCATACCTACTGTAGGTACCTTAGCACGTGCTTAGGTACTTTCTCCTACAGTGGAACGAACTCCCGCGGTAGGAACACGGAGCGAAAAAGACACGCGAAATTCTAGGTGCGGTCTACTCTCCCTGGATACGCCCCCTCCCCTCACGCCTGTTCGCTACTGCCCCTTTCAAGAGGGTTGGATTTTGGATTTGTATTGGCCCGAATCGAAACCATATCGAATCGAATTGGTGATAGCGAGCGACAAGGACAAAGACGAAGACGAGGCCGAGGACGCGGACGAGGACGAGGATCAACCATCCATCCAACCATCACCACAGCCAGATACGCCTATAGCCGTGCGCCTCGATCTACCCGCCTGCCTTTCGCCAACTGCCCGGCGCCGCGTCTTGCCTCTTGCCTCTTGCGCTGGTCGCTGCACGTCAACCGATAGGATAGGATCGTCGCCTTCAAAATCGATCCGAGTCAATCCCAAGATCACCACCACCACCACCACCAGCACAGCAACACCGCTCGTGGGCTGATCGCCTGCCGTTGTTTCGGTCAACGGCAACGGCAGCACCGTTGCCGACCTTGATCCTGATCTCCTTCTTGACCTCAACCTCAACCTCAACCTCAGTCTCCGCCTCCATCCTTGCCCGACCTTGACCTGCGCAACGTCGTCCGCTGATGGCCTCAACAACCATCACCACGTCTGCCCTTCACCATCCACACCAACAACCACATCCCCATCCCCATTCACATCATCCGCAGTCTCACGCACATCCTCATCACCTTCAGCAGCAGCAGCAGCAACAGTCACAGCAACACCAGCATCAACTCCAACTCCAGCAGCATCACGCCGCCGCCGCCGCTGCCTCTTCCTCCTTCCCTGGCGGCGCCGCATCCCTCGCCGTGCAACCTCCGCCCTCTTCGGCCGCTGCCGCCGCATGAACGGCCTCCTTTGACCACCTGCCTCAGACCGGAAGCAACATGCAGTCCGTCCAGCCCCAGTCGCAGCCCTCCTCCCAACAGTCCTTCACTATGAGCCAGCCCTCTTCCCAGCAGGCCGCCCTCGCCGCCTCCGCCTACCGCCAGTTCGCCGACTCGGGCGCCCGCCTCGCCAATGACAACCCTCCGCAGATCTACTCGGTAAGTCTTCCTTTCCCATTCCCGGCTTGGCCTCTCTCCCAGCCGCGCGAGAGGAGCTCCTTGCGTTAACCCGGGCGCTCCTTTTAGGCTGTCTACTCCGGTGTCGACGTCTATGAGATGGAAGTGAACGGCATTGCCGTCATGCGTCGCCGCAATGATAGCTGGCTCAACGCCACCCAGATCCTCAAGGTCGCTGGCGTCGACAAGGGCAAGCGCACCAAGATCCTCGAGAAGGAGATCCAGACCGGCGAGCACGAGAAGGTCCAGGGTGGCTACGGAAAGTATCAGGGCACCTGGATCAAGTTCGAGCGCGGAGTCGAGGTCTGTCGGCAGTATGGCGTCGAGGAGATCCTCCGCCCTCTTCTCACATACGACATGGGCCAGGACGGCGGCATTGCCGGCCGTGGCGACATCAACACGCCCACAAAGGAGCAGGCCATGGCCGCGCAGAGGAAGCGCATGTATAACGCGTCTGCCGAGAACCGGACGAATGGCATGGCCGGCACCTTCTTCAAGAACATCTCGGCCACCGCCTCCCACGCCGTCGCCGCCATCAGCAAGGCCCGCTTCGACTCGCCAGCTCCAAGGAACCGTAACGGCCCAACTCGCGCGCCCAGCTTCAATCGGCAGCCCTCGATGCAGAGCATGGACGACTTCCCAGGCAACTCCCAGCAGAGTTTCGCCTCAGATTTCAGCCAGAATGTGGACTCGGCATACTCGACCCAGAATAACACACAACATCTCAACGGCGACGGGCCAGAGCCCCCGAGGAAGCGCCAAAGGGTCACCATGACGCCCGCCGACAGCTTTGGCTACGCGCCGTCCATGCAGATGTATGCTGACGCCTTCCCGGGCTCCCCAACGGAGCCCAACGAGTCCTTCATCTACTCACAAGCCGGCGTCAACTCCCACGACCCCAACAGCGATGGCCTCTTCTCACTAGCCCCTCTGCCGTTTGAGGTGTCGCCTGATGCCGACAACAAGCGAGGTTTGCTCATGAGTCTCTTCATGGATGCCAATGCCAACGACCCGGCGAAGCATGAGATGTTGCGCACCATGACGCCTGGAGAGCTCGATATGCCCATCGACACGCAGAGCCACACTGCCCTGCACTGGGCCGCAACCCTGTCCCGCATGCCCCTGCTTCGCGCTCTCATCGCCGCCGGAGCCAACCCCTACCGCGTTAATGCCTCGGGCGAGACCGCTCTGATGCGCGCCTGCGTTGTCACAAATTCGCATGATCTGAACTCCTTCCCGGAGCTGCTCGACGTTCTTGGCGGTACACTCGAAGTCCGAGACAGCAAGGGCCGCACCGTCCTCCACCACATCGCTGTCACAAGCGCCGTCAAGGGTCGCAACACCGCCAGCCGCTATTATCTCGAATGCCTGTTGGAGTGGGTGGTCCGTCAAGGGAGCGCGCCTAGCAGCCAGGAGGCGGCCGTCAACGGAAACGGGGCGAATGCCAATAGTCCGGTAAAGTTGGGACTCGGCCGTTTTATGAGCGAGGTGGTGAATGCACAGGACAAGGCTGGCGACACCGCGTTAAACATTGCCGCCAGGATAGGCAACAGAAGTATCATCTCGCAGCTTCTGGAAGTTCGTGCAGACCCAACAATTGCCAATCGTGCTGGTCTTCGGCCACTGGATTTTGGAATCGGCGGCGAGGCGGCTGAAGACGGAGCTGCTGGGGATACAGCAGGTGCAGACAAGGCGGGAGCGCTGGCAAACAGCCAGAGGAGTAGAGAGAGCAGCGACGATATTATTACTTGTGGGTTCCCTTCATCCTCGCATTGATAGGTTCATCTTGTTTACTAACACGCCGCAGCTATATCGCACCTCCTGAGCGAGACTTCCTCCGGCTTCCAGAACGAGCTCAAGACAAAGCAAACGTCTGTCGACTCGTTACATGCCTCATTACGCACAACATCGGCTCAGCTGGGCGAGGCTCAGCGGACGCTACAAGCCCTGCAAGAGAAGCTCAACAACCAGCAGATTGACCGCCAGAAGGTGCTCAACCTGACGAGAGCCCGCGATGACAAGCAGTATAGTCTGTTGCAGCATGAACAACGCCATGGGCGGTTCGACAGCAGCAGTTCAGCCACATGGGAGGCCGAGCTAGACGCTGCAGTCAACAATGCCCTTTCCATCTCGCCGCAGCCGAATGGCACCAGCCAAGCTCTCTCCTCCGCAAACCTCCTCCGAGCGAGGATCAATGCGGTCCGCGCACAGCTGGACAATACGAAGCAGGCTGTGTCAGGGCTCAAGAGTAGAAGCAGGGACGTTGAGTTCAAATACAAACACTTGGTGGCACTCGCAGCCCGATGTACCGACACCGACGTGGACAGCCTGTTGGATGGTCTTGTACGAGCAGTGGAGAGCGAGAAGGGCGAGTTGGAGATCGGCCGTGTGAGGAGATTTTTGGGTGGTGTGGATGGTGCATGTTGATCGGTCTCTTTGTCTTGCATGCTTCTTGTCATACGGCGTATTGGTTCGGGGCGGTTCAAGCAGGCATGTCACAGCACAGCCTGTGCTTTGGGAATCGCTCAAGTCGTTGTAGCAGCACTCGAGGTGTCATGTCATAGGTGGTGGTGGCATCCCAGCATCCGTGGACCATGTGGCAGTCCTGTCTCTTATCGAGTGGTATCTGTTGGCGAGTATAATACGTATATAAGTCTGTACGACTAGTCTTGGTGGCTGGCATAAAATATCCAGGATTCCATTCAGAAAAGTCTCCAACCTCTAACCTCTTGTAGTGAGATCGTGTCCGAGTACCAAATTGACCACGCAGGGTTCGCCTTCCGCCGTTATCATAGCTCTAGCATACTCTCAGGGGGCGCTCGTTAGTATAGTAGTTCGCGAATGTGAACTTGTCTCCCTTCGTAGTATTTAGAGTTGTTGGTATTGTACACTTTCTATTCATCCATGCGCCCAGTCTAACCATTTGAGTGGCTCCTTGTTTCCCGAACATCAAATTCATATTAAGACAAACATCCCCCTGACCACAAGAAATCCATTCGTGACGCCAGTGCATGACATGTCCAACATTTTCCGTGACCGACATCCTGTGGTATCCCATTCGCCGAAAGGTAATCGAAGTTTGAATAACGAACTAAGCACCAACAGAAAAGCCGTAGGAGCCGTCAAAGACATCGACTTTGGTCAACTGTGGATCTCCACGCATAGACTTGAGAATATCCAGAGACGGCACATCGTCCTTTGCGTAGAAGCTCAGGAGATTGTCCATGTCCTCCTCGCTCATGTCGCACATCTCGTCCCAGGCAAAAGCATCGCTGACCTTGATCATCCTACACGGCAGGGGAACACGAACACAGTAAGCAGAGATCCATGTAGGAGGGGCATGGCAACAAGGCTGGCTTACCATGACATCCTCTTGGGCCCGTCCCCAACTTGAGGGGCAATCTTTCTTAATTTGGCCCTCAACTGGCCTGTTCTTTCTATGGCCAGCCCCGCGTTGGCGGGTAGCTTCCCTGCTATGTATTTACGGATGGTGCTCGCCAGCCTCGGACCCTTACCGTTTGTGCTGACCATGATCTGCAAGGGGCCGTCTCGATGGACGCTGCCGAAGTAGAAGTCGCACTCGGGAGGGACGTCGGCAATGTTGGCCGGTATCCTCCGCTCCTTGCACAGCTTCCATATGGCAGTAGACGCCTCGGGGTCGTCGACAGCCACCAGAACCATGTCGGCGCCGTCGAGGTCCTGGGGCTCGAAGGTGCGATCAGTGTGGGAGACCTGTTTCTCAGCGACGCGAAAGGCGACTTCGGGGTTGAGGCCGGAAGCAGGGCAGACGACAGTGACGGAGGCATCGGCGTTGAGGCAGTTGAGAATGCGGCCGGCGGCGACCTGTGATGAGGGAAAAGACATGTTTGATTAGCAAGCGAGCAAGCAAGCAAGCAAATGAACAAAGAAACGGCGAATGAGAACCCACATCGCCGCCTCCGACAACGAGGACTTTCTTTCCCTTGATCTGCCAGGCCAAGATCAGACTTCCCCCTCCCTGGACCTCGGGGAAGCTGTTGGCTTGCTGCTCAGTCATGATCTATGCTGTGTTGAAATACACCAGGAATAGACCGGACCGACTATCCAAGCCAGTCGTTCTCTCGCAACTGCCCCTCCAGCAAGCCAAGGCGCCGGAAAGGAGGAGAGCCTGAAGGTCTATCTGTTTGGGAGAGATGTAGCGCCTCGAGCAGAGCTTGTCTTTCCATGCAGCACAAGGCAATTGAAAGCAGGTGAGAGCGCGATAGAGACGGTGAAGTGTGTAAGTGTCAATAGTGAAGAGTTCAGGAGAAGAAAGTCAATTAGCTTCCGAAAGCTCTCGGAGGGGTTCTCACGATAAGTGAGGCGATAAGCTACCTGAGCTACCTCCCAGGCTCAATTAGGATTAGCTCCGTGACAACATCAGAACCTGGAAAGGACCCCAAGTTACCCCACCAGTCCACTGCTCGCCTCCTTCCCACTTCAAGTACAGCGGCTCTCTAGGTAGGTGAAGTACCTAAGTAGGTACCTGGGTAGGGAATGAGATAAGCTACCAGGCATTGTGATACCTGCACAGCCTCTTCCGCTTCCGCCGCATCCACAACACCACCACCACCACCACCACCAAACATCACAGAACCCTCAATAGCGATGACCCGAACAAGACAGTGACTGGCGAACTGAGGCAGTATATGCTCGACGACGGCGTCTCTAGCTGCCTCTTCTACGTTCAGGTCAACATCGCCATCTTTGCAGGCAGCTTCAGCCCCGGCCGAGCAATGCCATGCCGCGTCAGTGCTGCCTTGTCGATGGGATCACAACTCGCCAGCACCAGCACAGCTCTTCTCCGACCATCCCGGCCTTCCTTAAGATCTGACATGCCCCAGCATCAAACCCCGCCGACATTCTGAGTGCGCACTCGGCGTCACACTGGCTCTGCATCGACGCTGAGCCCCGACCCCGACGTCTCCAGCCTCGCCGTGCCCCCGCCGCCGCCGCCGTCGCAGCAGCCGACATGTCTGGGCGGAAGCTGGGAGGCGGCCGGGTCCTGGGCAGCGGCAAAGGCCTCGCACCTCCCTCTCCATCCCCGAATTCGAATCCGAACTCGACTCCGACATCTCCTGGATCCAGGCCCGGAGCCGGAGCCGGAGTCGGGCCCAGAGCCAGAGCCACAAGTCCTTTTGCGCCCTCCGACGCCAGCACTCTCTCCTTCAGGTCGCCCTCCCCGAGCTCCCTCTCTCCTCCCTCGTCCAGTCCGCTACCCGAGTTCTCCCAAGACCTTGCCTCCAACATCAGCCTCGGTGGCCCTTCAAATGGCGATTCGACAGGCAATCGTCTCGTCTGCCCCATTTGCAGTGAGGAGATGTTAACTCTCCTGCAGCTCAACAGGCATATAGACGATGCCCACCAGGAGCTTCCCGAGTTCGAGCAGGACGAGGTGAAGACCTGGTTTGACAAACAGGTCCTCAAAGCCAAGCGCTTTCAGCCTTTGTCCATCATCAACTCGAAGCTGCGCGGCCTGGAAGTCTTCGAGTCCAACGAGTCACTTCCGCTCGCTGCGCCACAGCTGCCGACGGCTGGCCCAAGACCTGTCGACGCCGTCATCGACCCCGAGGAGCTGGTTACTAGGAAGCACTGGCAGAGACCGACAGGAAATGACATGTGCACAGATCCTCCATGCGGCAAGCGGCTAGGTCCCTTGAATGGGAGTGTCAACTGCAGGAAATGCGGGCGTCTCTTTTGTGAAGAACATACCATGTATCAGATCAAGCTCTCAAGGTCCGCCGCTCACGATCCTGTCAGGGGCTACTGGTGCCGTGTGTGCGAGACATGCTACAAGACGCGGGACGGCTACAATGATCATAATGGCGTTCTTATAGACCACACGAACGATTTTATTTCGATCCGACGCAAGAAGGTGGAGAGACACAATCTGGAGATCCAGCGGTTAGAAAAGCGGTTGACCAAACTGACTCAACTGCTGGCGAATCCGCCCGAAGAGGTAGCAACCAACGGGGGCGGCCTACTCTCACCAGTCACATCACTGGCAGGCCAGAGGAATCCACGCAAGCTCCTCGAGCAATCAGTAGTGACCTGGGAGGACGACGCGTCAGTGGCCAAATGTCCATTCTGCCAACAGGAGTTTGGTTCCTGGTCGTTCAGGAGACATCACTGCCGGATATGTGGGAGAGTGGTTTGCGCGGACCCGCAGACTGGCTGCTCAAGCGAAGTCGGTTTGAGTGTTGCAAGTGGTACGTCTAAACACCATCATTCCTCTTGATAGCAGCCAGCTAATTCCCTCACAGCGACACCTACACTGCAAGGCTCTGAGAAGACTGGGAACTCAGCAGCCGCACAGGTTAGTATAGACATTCGTATGTGCCGGGACTGCAAGTCAACTATTTTTTCAAAACGAGACTTTACCGAGTCGATCGTACACAAGCCTCCAGATCAAAAAGCGTATGAGACGCTCCGTCAGTTTGAGCGCGGTATTCGGCAGCTCATGCCCTCTTTCCAAAGGGCCTTACTCGCCCTCCAACCCCCCGACGACGAATTCTCTCTTGAGAAGCCGCCACCAACACACGCGCAGATTCAGGAAGCTGCAAAGATTCGCAAGAGACTTACGGATAGCTTCACCAAGTACGATCTTGCAGCTAAGAGGATACGCGACATGAAAACAACTAGTCAGACACAACTAAGGTTGCAAAAGGCGATATATGCCGCAGCCAGCACCTTTCTCCACACACACATGCTGCCATTAAAGAGCGTGCCACGGATGCTAAAGGAGCACTCCGCGAGCAGATCAAATCATAGGCGTCTGCTCTCGGCTATAGATCGGACGGGCAGTGGCGTGAACCATCTTTCTCCCCTCCGAAACGGCGAGTCAGCTGATTCGGAGACCGCCAGTCTTGCAGGAGGCAGTGAGACGAGTACGGTCGTCTCTGCACTCGAGACGGAAGAGAAGGAACTGCGAGAGAGGTTAGTGGTGCTTGAGGAGCAGCGATTCATGGTCAAAGACATGATCAAGAATGCAAGGGGAGCACGGAGATTCGAGGAGGTCAGCGCCCTTACGAGAAACGTGGAAGAGTTGGATGCAGAGATTCAATCTTTGACCAAGAAGGTCAGCGGTGTGGAAGAGAGGTGGGAAGGTCTATACGCAGCCGGTACTACCGGACCTTGAATGCCATCGTTGGCTTGCCGCATGAACAGCTGGAACGGCAGCATTGCAAGGCGTTTGGGCGTGGAGCTTTACTTTGGCGATGCAGAGCAGCGTAGATACCTGCCTGAGAGTTCTAGCCATCTTCGAAGATTGAATTGAAATAATCATCGAATATCCATGTTTGAAATATCTTTCATAGGCCAGAGCAAGTGATCGCTATTATTCTTTCATGGAGTATGATGCTGTCTTTAAGTTCAGATTCATCATCGGCAGTTAATATACTACAATCATTTCCTAAGTGCCAGGTTCTTGACGACCCTTTTCCCCATCATCAATAAACCTGCCTTTCCCAGGCTCCTTAATAACCTCAGTCCCAGGTCGATGCATTCGTTTTATTGTCATTATTCGTAGCCAGCGGCTGCCCTTGAAGTTTTGGCGTCGATCATGAAGTAAATTCGAGGGGCAAACTCTAGGCTTTTCATCGCTAAGCCACTTGTTTGCCCCTTGCCCTCTCTATCAGACCAGCGATCAAGCTCTGAATACCTCGGTGCTGTGCCCCTGAGATAGCAAGTTGTCCTTCTGTGGTGTCGGTGGGCGCGAAAACCTTCACTCGGCCCTCGGATAAGACGAACGCACCACATGCAACGCGTGAAATGCGTACAGCCGGGTGGAAAATATCCAGAGCAAGATGGCGGTCGATATAGTGACCGAGAGCCTCTGTGAAGGGTAGACTTGCTGATTCAACCCCCTCATTTCCAGCTTCTGTTAGAGTGCGCCAACCCCATCCCTCCTCGTTCGTCTGGCCACCCAGCCTCCTTCGCTTCCGCATATCTCCGCCTCCGTGTGATGAACTATCTGTGTCTCCAGCCCTGAAACGCTTTCCTGTCTCAGTAAATCGTTTGATATCTCCGGCCGGGATGATGATGTCGATTGCCTTGATGCCGATGACTGGACCTGTCACATCATCGGTATCATCATCTGTTCGCTTTTGATGACCACCCCCTTTGTCTGAGGTGATCGATGGAGCGTAGAAGCCAACAGTGATGACTACGTCCTTTGCCAAAGGGCCCCGAGTCGGCACGCCGGCTTCTCTGAGCCAACGCTCCCATGCCTGGGTTAGACTCCGTGTGCCGAGACGAAGAGGATGAATGCGACAGTCGAATGTGGCGGAGATGAAGTCAAGAATGACGGGTTTCAGGGGCGGAGGCATGCGGAGAAGAAGAAGTGGGAGGTGCAAGAAATGTTCGTTGTCGGTGGACGGGGCACTGAACAACGATCCGGTTGACGGATAGGCCTCTGTATGCAATATTTCCGTCCCGGATTCGTCCGCACTTGATAGAGTAGGCATGAGGATTGCCGTGCACAGCGCATTCTCATACTGTAGAGAGATGCAAAGAGCCCTCCGGCGTCGCCGCAGCCCCCTACCAAAACCGGGCGGAGTGTCTATTCCCAAGTCCCGGCTGACGGGTCGCTGGGCGTCGCCTGTATGCGCCTGCTCGTCGCCCTCAGCAGGCTGACCGAGGAGGATGCCAAGCCGCACCCATCGCATCTCCACCAACTCAAGGGCGCCAGCGCGGCCCATGGAACTATCGTTGCCGCCATCGATCCCAACCTGAATGCCGCGAACAACATCGCCGACCAAGACGTCACGCAGACGCCGTTCCAAGACGCCTAGGCGGTCGCGTGAAAGCGGCTGCGGCCCTATATACAGAGGCGACACGCGGTGTGTGGAAAACGTGGTGTTGAAAAAAGGCGACGGCGAAGATGCCAAGTCGCCATCGTCGTCGTGGGCAGAAGACGAAGCATCGGGGGAGGGCGGTGCTTGAGCGGCTGTGGCGATGGAGGAGGACTTCTGGCCGCTACGACGACGCGCGCGAGGATTGGAGAAGCGCTGCCTCCTTGGCCGAGGCATGGCCGCGGTTGTGGGCGTCTTTCTGTCTGTCTGCTTCTCTGGCAGGATGTAGGTCTTCCGATACTTCGCTGGGTGCCGAGATAGGTAAGGATCTTGATCGCTCCTTTGACGCGTCGATGCTCTGCGGCGGCTGCGCTTTAGCTGGTTTTTGATGAATGTCGTTGTTCTTTGGCCGATTTGACACGTCGAGTCACACGATCTAGGGATTGATCATCGCTGGGCGTGGCTGTGGTGGTTGGGCAATCTCATTGTCGTTGAGGGTGGGGGGATGGTGTGCATGAATCCAGTACGGCAGGGTGCATCTCAGATGGCGTATCAGTCATGTTAAAGCACCTCTCTTCAGTTAGTACCGCACCACGCCCCGCGCAGTCACTCTAAAAATCCAAATACAATTCTGCATCCAAGCACTTCCTCCCCTCTCCTCACCTCGATGATGATGCTGCTCAGGTTATGAATAATAATAAAAAACACTAATTAAGTGCAGCATTTCATTGCTTGTATGATTTTGGATCGCACTTGCTCGATCTAGGTACTACAACAATCTATTAGGTGCCCATTTTGTTGTATTACCTCGTCGTCCTTATCATTGAGTGAAACACCAAGTCCTCAGTCACCCAGTTAGGTGTCTTCCCAGGATCTCTCATCCTCTCGAGCGCCTTGGTGGGCTACATCAGTCAGCCTCTTCCATCATCATCATCATCATCATCATGCTTTACTCTTATCACCGTAGAGCTCCATTGCCAGGTCGTTTCGCTGGTAGAATGTCGACATTCTGTACTTTGACTCTCCGCGGTATTGCTCGAGGTCATCGAGTGCCTGTCGTCCCTCGCGCTCGATTGTTTGCCGAATCGCCTCACTTCGGGGTTCGATACTACACTCGAATGGCTGAGGCCGCATATTCAGACCATTTCTACGCAGGGTCAGCCAGCTGGCAAACGAAAGCTAACGGTTATCAAGTCGCTTCGACTTTGAGGCTACGCAATACAAAACACACTCACGTGTAGTTGAAGATGTCAACGTCAATGACGCTGCCGTCTGGCCGTCTCTTCTTCTGTATGTTGAACCCCCAAAGTAGCCTGGCAATTGTGACCCAGGTTCCTTGTTCAGCAAGCGCCTGACCAGAGCATACTCTCCTGCCCCAGCCAAATGTCATGTACCCACGCTCACCAGGGAATGGCCGGTTGTCGGGGTCCCCAGAAAGATACCTCTTCGGGTTGAAGCGGTCGGGCTCCGGAAACTCTCTTTCGTTGTGGTGAATCGCCCACACATTGCCTTGAATCCAGGTGCCTTTCGGAATCAGCCACCCGTTGTAGCTGTCATCCTGCGTGGGAGAATGCGGCTGCCCCCCAATAATAGCCACTGAGCGCCATCGGAAGACCTCCTTGACAAACGCTCTCACATAGGGAAGATTCGGCTCATCGTCAAAGTGCGGACTCCTATGAGGCCCGACCACACGGTCTAGCTCTTCCCAGGCCGGGATCAGAGTCTCGGGGAACGCACAGCACGCGAGAACAAATGTCACCAGCGTGCTGCTGCTTGTGTCACTCCCTGCCCCGAATAGATTGCCCGCCAGAGCGGCGATCTCCTCCTCCCGTAGGTCATATTTCTCCTTCTCTGAGAAGAGGTGCTTGACGAACGAGTCGTCGTGCCCAGGCTTGTGAGCTGCTTCATGGGCCAGAGCGTAGAAGAAGCTGAAGCTTCTCTTCTTCCCGAGTCCATATTTCCACGGCGCGATCGCGTTGGGGAATTTGGCCAGCCACGGAAACGTCTCCATCAGCATGGGGAACGTCTTGCCGGGGACGTTGAGCTCCGCCGCCAGCTGCATTACGGCGATGACCTCGGTGATTATGGGGTCCTCGTTGCTTTCCACCCTTCTCCCAAAGCCAATAATGGACACTACGCTGGTGGCGTATCGCTCAAAGTGCTTGACGTAGTCTACCGGTGACTTCACCAAGTCGTATGCTATGACCCTGCTCTCGTCGTTCTGAAAGCTGCGATACTTCCTCACAGACTGAACCCCTACAGCATGATGCATCAGCTTGCGCTGCACACGCCACCTCTCGCGTTGTTCTGGCGTCCAAGTGTACATGTTGACCAAATTAGATTGCCCAGCACCAAGCTCTGCAAAAACCAGCATTCTAGGCCGCGAAGAGTAGATACCGGCTCTCTTCTCAAAAAGCTCAGACGCAGACCATGCATCATTGATCCATACCGTGGGGTTTCTAGCGCATTCAGTCATCATCAGTCGAGAGATTTGGTGTCATTCTGGCTCACCTTCCTATCCAGATCGTGATCAACGGGGCCTCATAATGCTTCGACAACTCCTCGAACCAGATCCATGGCTTTGTATCTGGAAGCATGAAGGTGTTGCCCACTATGGGATACGGCAGTGGCCCGGGAGGCTGCGGCGTGTCAGTTCCATGTTGACGGCTCGGAGGCGGCAGACTCAACCATCTTGGACCGCAACCAAAGCATCCTGGCATAATCTATCACCAGGGTCACTGCAACTATGACCACAACAGCGCTACATACGGCCCATGGTGAACTGTCTTTGAGGAGTCTCTGTACGCCAGCAATGGCGAACAGATCATGAAACTGGTCGGACAGCATCTCTATTCTGGTTTACAATACCCGTATACCTACAGGCGCAAATTAGACATTCAGACAGAAAGGCCAACTATTAAATCAGAAAGATCTTGGTTATTTCAACAGTGAGACTTCTCCTACCAGTGACAATTGCCTCCGCCCCGGTAAAGACTTTCCGGGCCGAGTTGGACTGCGAGAGATCGGACTTAAGCGAGGCGGAAAGGGGGGCTCTGCTGTATGTTGAAGTGCGGAGGGATGATCAGTGGGCGATCTGTGCCGTCTGCCGCGTCGTAGATGAACACGATGCTCTGCATAATGCGAGACGGCTGGATGATTTCCCTCCCCATGGTTCTCGGGCCTCTGGTTGCATAGCCTGTTGTTGGCAGCGGGGGTTTTCTCCGCATCCCAAATTTGACCTCCGCATTCTTGACAGGTTGACAATCACAGAGTCTTGTGACCTGGCCGCTGCCTTCTCCTCACACTAGCATCGACGGCATTTGTGCTACCCCAATCAATACAGCGGCAGTTGAGCCGAGTCGAGACTCTGAGAGTTGTCGTTGGCCAGAACCCCTTCCAAGATCAAGGGTGGACGCGCCTCCCGCACGGCTCGTAGCTCCCGAGCGCTTGCATATTGAAGTGCCTTTCGTCCAGATAGATAACTCTGCAACACCAAGGCCATCCGCTTCAACCCAGGAGGATCGCTGCATCTCTCGTTCACTCTGCTTCCTCAGCTGCCAAGCCCTTTACGAAGTCTATCGTGTCACAATGGCTCCTCAGCAAGATTCCTCTTTGGGCTTGAAAGACCATTGGAAATGTCTTCTTGCTGTTACCCTTGTCTCAATGAGCCCGTTTCAATATGGAATTGACTTCGGAATCATCGGTGGTCTTCAGGCCATGCGTGGTTTCTTAGAGGTTAGAATTTGTTTACCATCCATGATAAGGCCAGGCTCATTTGTTACATGACAGGTTTTTGGTGAACCCAATCCTCTGAGTCCGATTGGATACAATATTAGTACGGATAGGCAACAACTGATCTCATCACTCATGACATTGGGTGCCTTCATTGCATCTTCTTCAGCTGGCTTCACCGCCCTATATTTCGGCCGGAAGATGACGCTCTATATTGCCTGTGCCGGTATCTTTCTCTCGACGGCTGTTATGCAGGCAACGACAAACATCGCAGGACTTTATGCTGGAAGACTCATCATTGGTCTTGCAAACGGCCTTCTCATGACCCATTCCCAACTATATATCCAGGTATGTCATTATCGAGTATGTCTGCCGCCGATAACATTTACTAACATCTCATGCTTCAGGAATGCACTCCCGCAAGATATCGTGGCATGGCCATTGCCGTCTTCCAGTTCTGGACTTCCATTGGTACGTCAATCCTTTCACGGACAGCAACTTTCGGATAGGGCTAACCAAATTACTCAAAGGAACTCTCGTGGGAACCATTGTCGACAATTTTACTTCCAAGATACAGGGGCGAGACTCGTACATAATCCCTCTCGGTATTGTGTATATTGTGCCAGGCCTCCTATGCATTGGCATGCTCTTCATTCCTGAGTCTCCGCGTTGGCTTCTGCAAATGGGACACAAGACTCAGGCTGAGAAGTCTCTGAACTGGTTGCGTCCTGAAGGCTGGTCCGTGTCCACTGAGTTCGCAGAGATGAACGAAGCTCTTGAAGTTGAGCAGCAACTCGCTTCAGGGGTTGGCGTTCTGGATCTCTTCCGCAACCGAATCGACCGTAGAAGGACACTACTGTCGATCGCTGCAATCACAACTCAGGCAGCTTCCGGCGCCATGTTCATGATCGCGTATGGAACCTTCTTTTTTGAGATGGCACATATTGGCGATGCTTTCGAAAATTCGTGCATTCTTGTGGCAGTCGGCGTCGTTGCGGTTATTGTAAACAGCATTGTCATCACACGATACGGTCGCCGACGAGTTTTCTTGACCACAGGTCTGATCATCTGCGGCATGATTCAGCTCTTACAAGCAATAGTCTATACAGTCCATCCTGGAACTGTGTCGACTGGGAAAGCAATTGTTGGGTTATCCGTTGTCTACCTCATCGGATATAACGGTTGTATTTCGTCGTACGCGTGGGTGGCTGGTGGTGAGATTCCTTCACAGCGCTTGAGGTCATTCACCTTTGGACTTGCGACGGCTATAGGATTCTTTGGAGCGGTTCGTTCTTCTATGCATTGATTCCCGGGATTTTGACTAACCCCTCGCAGTGGCTCACAACATTCACCGCCCCTTATTTCATCAATCTGGATTCTTTGAACTGGGGTCCAAAATACGGCTATATCTGGACACCATCTTGCTTCTTGACCGCAGTGTGGGTATTCTGGTACCTGCCAGAGACCAAAGGACGAACGCTTGAGGAGATTGATGAAATGGTAAGATCATGTGATATCTTTCTGATTTTGGAAGCCTGATACTGACTGCGGTGATAGTTTGAAGCAGAAGTGCCAGCCCGGAAGTTTCGACATTACCAGTGCAGAGGACCAGCGGCGGTTGTCGAGAAGGTTAATTCCAACGAGAAGTCCGGAGTTGAGACTGTTGAACACGTGGATTGAGGATTGGGTGCTTGTGAGTTGTGTTTGGACACACGAGTGGGAAACTTGCAGATGCTATGTAGTCAGTCGTATACATATTTCCAAGTGTCAAATCACCACGTATCGCGCCTACAGGGGATCGTAAATCTTATGACATAAGCTAACGATTTCTAAGACATTTGATTCTTATATGGCTTTACTTTACTTTCCAACCTGAGCTAAGACCTCATCGAACACGTCCTCAGCATGTTGCTCCGCATCGAAACCAAGAATCCAATCCTCCCTCGGAAACTCAATGCTTTCGGGGTTCTTCTTTACCTCATCCCAGTCCGTCTTATGCCACTTATCCCTCGTAGTCTCTCCTGTCTTTTGAACCTTCTTGACTCTTTCGTATCGGATCTTTTCATGAGCTCTGACGGCTCCAGGGACCTGAGATTTGCCTCCTTTCCGGAGGCATACCGCGATAGTCGCTCCATCCTCAATTGCCTGTGCAGCACCCTGCGCAGAAGTAGGAAGAAATGGGTGTGCAGAGTCTCCTAATAGGAGAATCCTTGCTTGTGGACTAACCCATGTAGGCAACGGGTCTCTGTATACAAGTTTCCAGTCTACGAGTTTGTCTTCTGGCGTCTTCTCGATGATTGTGGTGCAGAGAGGATCCCAGTCCTTGATCGCTTCTTTGACTTCTGAGATCTTTCCTGGGAAACTCCAGGACTCGTCGATATCATGGACGTCCGGGTGTGTGAGCACCCAGCAGCAATCAGAGCCATCTTTAATTGTACTGAACAAAAAATGCATATCCGGGCCAATCCATCCATTAAATGTGTCGCCATCATTACAGAAGTGAGCGGTTTGTGGATCTGCGATCATGTCTTTATTCTCAAACCTGGAGGGTATTAAAACAAATTCTCACGAGGGACAGTTATGCCCAACATACCATGCTCTCCAGACAGCATAGCCACTGCTCTTGGGTTTGTCTTCGTAGCCAAGTACAGTCTTGCGGGCTTTCGAACGCACACCATCTGCAGCAATAACGACATCTCCAACAACCTAACAATCGAATTAGTACATTGTGAGTGCAATTTGACTTGACCGTATGGGCTAGCCCACCTTCTCTCCATTAGCAAGTATGATCCCTGCTTCTTTATCATTCTCGAAATAGTTCTCAATACGTCGGTTCAAATTTATGGGAATTTTCAAAACGTCTCGTGCATAGTTGTATACAATTTCATGCAGTTCTCCTCTGTGTCCATTGAAGTACGGCGCTTCTGCATTATACGGCGGAGTCTTCTGATTAATGACCACCTCCCCAGTATCGTACTTGTGTATATTGAAGCCATGCTTGGAAGTGTCTATACTGAGAGATCGCATCTCCTGTGCAACAGCACCATTCGACCATCTGACGAATACGCGGCCGGCATTAGAGCCGAAGGTGATGATGTCACCAAGCGCCTTAAGCTCTGCAAAAGACTCATAGATTTCGACATCGTGGCCGTGCCTATAACATTCAATGGCTGCAGACAGACCACCAAATCCTGTAATGAAAGAAGGTTTCAGCTCGAGATGGTCATATTTGGGGTAGCTTATGCGAGGCAGTGAGGGGATGGTTTGGTCCACGTACCAGCTCCAACGACAATGACTTTGACACCCGTCTTTTGGGGCCCAGCTCCGTTCTTGGTTACTCCGTTTACCGTCATTGTGCCGGCAGAAGCGCTCACTGATACATGCCAGCAGATTTGACACAAAGGGACAACTAGATAGGGGAAGTTAAGTGCATGAGAATTCGCGTGTCAAAGAGCGCTTCGGGAGCAAATGTGACTCCGAGGAGAAGCATTCTGGCCATGTCATGATCGGGTCGATGGGGCCGTTCGCTAGTATACAATTAACTGCCGTTTCAGAATAGTCGAAAGAGAAATCGCAGAACTACGATAGGGCCGAGGAGCTTGGGATTGATGTTAGTTCACGCTCTCTCCCCATGCGGGGTACAGATCAATCACCCCTTACCAAGCAAGCAACCGGGGAAGAGTGGCTCCATCAGTTCGTCCCCATCGGACCATGCATTCTTCCCGCTTGTTCGACGCGGGGGTAGTCCCTAGCTGACAAGGCCGAGGCCACGCAGCGTCTACGGCTAAAAGTCCAGGACGATGCCGATGTGCTCGTAAAATGCCGGGTTTTGATTTGCCCAGGTCAGCGCCTCGGAGTCTACAAAGGGTCTCTCTTCGGTGCATTTCCAAGACCAGTTGGCCGATTGATTGGGTCGTTATCAAGCTCGATACCCTTTGGTATCACGAGCTCAGGCTGGTGATGCATCGAGAGCAGAGTCGGTTCAGCCCGGATCAAGCACGTGAGCTCTCATAGTCTTTGTTCAGTATGACATCGCATCCAGAATTTGGGGAAAAGACCTCAGCCCTCGAGGTTGCAAATGTATTTGCAGATAGGATAAGAGGGAGAAATGGTAATGTATTTCTGTGATGTTTGGCCGCGATACCCCTGAGTCAAGCTAATTCGTGGGCTTTCAAGTTGTGGTTACTGGTGTCGCGCCGATTGGCATTGGTGAAGCGACTGCTCTAGCATTTGCATCTCAAAGTCCAAAGACCATAATTTTGGCATCCAGAACGAGGGAAAAAGTTTTGAAGGTAGCGGACAAGATCAGATCACTGTATTCGCCGGTGAAAGTTGAGACTGTTATCCTCGACCTGGCATCACAGGAATCAGTCAGGGCAGCAGCAACTAAGATAGGAAGCTTGGTGGACAAAGTGGATTTCTTGATCAACAATGCGGGTGCTGTGATACAGACTCGACGAGTGACCGAGGAGAAGATTGAATATCAGCTAGGAACTAATCACATTGGCCCATTCCTACTTACCAACCTACTCTTACCCCTAATTCTAAAAGCAGCAGAGTCGGCGACGCCAGGTTCAGTACGAGTTATAAACTTAGCTAGCCACGGCCATAGACTATCGCCAATTCGATTTCATGATTATAATTTTGAAGGCCATGAGATTCCCCCGGAAGAAGAGCCCTTTGCGAACCTACCTCCTGCGTTCGCTAAAAAGACAGCAGATGGCTACCCGCCGATTATTGCATATTCTCAGTCGAAAACTGCAAACATCCTCTTCACAGTTCATCTGAAGCGTCATCTGAATAAGCTGGGCATAAATTCCTTTGCGATTCACCCGGGAGGTAAGTGTCCACAAACCAATCAGTATACTCGGTTAGTCGTGGTAACATGGGCTCACTTTCACAGGCGTCTTGACGGATCTGAGTCGGGATCACGATGAAGAGACCGCTGCTGCTCTGAAGAAGACCGCTGCATATTGGAAAACGCCAGATGAGGGTGCGTCAACTACGCTCGTCGCCGCTCTTGACCCTGAATTGGATGGTAAGCTCTCTCATGAAATATTCAGGAATAGTACTGACCGCCGTATTTAGCCTCTACCGGTTTATATATGGCAGACTGCCAATTCGTGGATTGCGCGAAGTTTGCTAGCGATCCCATTATAGCGGAGCGTTTGTGGCATTTGAGCGAGGAATTGATTACAGGAAAGCAAGATCTTCCAGTGTAGTTACTTAAGACATAGTAACATACCGTTAGAATTAATAAATACAATTGCAATAGCTAATCCTTCTATCATAATATTAGTGTTGAGACGAAGAAGTTATGCTCCATTTCGATGCCCGGAGCAAGCGAGGACGAAGCGTATGTTGGAAACAGTTCCGCTTGAGCCAATAAATTGAAGGATATTCTGAGCCCGAAATCTTTCAACTAGTACCACCTCCATTTGGTATGAAGAAAGTCTTACTAACCCATTCTCATGTCTGTGTGACGTATCTCAGTCATTTTCACGAGATCATCCAGAGTTGACCAATATAGACAGGAATCCCCGATCTGAGGTTTTGGCTCTCTGCAAACCTCATTTCGGGAAACGATGTACCAATACAATATAGACCGACAATGATCTATACTATGATTAGACAGTCCTTAGGATTATTTGCAGGCTTCATGGGCGTGAAAACATTGGTACAGGAGCACATTGGTACAGGAGCAAATTGGAGAAGCAGTTTATCAACTGATCCGTCGAAGATTATGTTCATACTGTACAATTCCCCCATAATGTTGCTCTGATGACACAGTATATTGCTGACCTGGTGTTTTTATCATCTGATCCTATTTGAGGAATATAGAATTGGACATGATCTGGGAACCGCCCAAGATGTTTGAGTGCAGCGTGAATGCATTTTCAGTGCCCAGCATAGTAGCATGCGAACTTATCAGTCTATGGCGAGTCTCTGGAATGCGCACCTATGACATATGCACCAGGCAATTGGATAGATGTCCGTCGGATTGGCAAGCTTCTCGTGCAGCACAGATGGCTAAACAACTTATCCCTATTACACACATCGATCACGAGATTTAGTGGCTTAGGCGCCCGCACCATGAGTACTGACTCGATGACTCGCAGCTCTTATTAGAGAGATCGCGAGCTTGCGTAGGAAATCCATTTCTTTTAGTTTCTACTGGCAAAACCGGCACGATCTAACGCTGCGGAAAACCATAAAATCCCATCATCGATCTGGGCGAGTAGGTGGCCGCGCTACGCCCTACGACCCATTGAGGACTAGATGTGCTCGTTAGCCTCAAGCACCAGCGCCATGATCTGCGAGAGACGCCCAACCCCACGTCATCCCAGCTCTTCAAGGTTGGGAAAGCCTCGTAATGTCGAATTGGAGCTCGCCCCGGCACGGCACATTCCTCACGCCCAGCAGCCGCGTGCTGCTACGGTTGCCCGATCAATCAATGCCAGCGCAAATAGTATCTGTTCTAGCCAGCCTATTGTGTCATAGCTGAGACGCCTCAAAGCCGAATCCGCCGATTTTGGTGGCTGCTATGCCTATTTCGCTCCTCTAGCTATATACAGTCCCAGCGTCTGTGACGGCAATATCCATGATCGAATCGGCACTCGCAGAGCTAGGGTGACTTAGCCTGACCCAAACACATCTGGCTGGCAAGGGTCAGCGCAGATAAGAGCACTTACTGGCCGTCTGCCCTGGGTGGCAGGTCTATCCTGAATACCTATCCATCCCCCTTGACGGCATTGTTTCTTCCTCGTAGACCTAAAGAAAAGCCTCGAGGCATCACAAAAATGGCATCCAAGGAAGTGCGATACTCCCACGGGCGACCCCACAGGCCTCACGCCGCAAAGTCTCGCACTCATCTCACGACTATGCAGACGCATTGGGTTGCTGCGTCCGGCGAGTTTGTTGGGACCTTTTTCTTTCTCTGGCTCAGCTATGCTGGGCACCTCATGGCAGTGAGCCAGGCTCCATCTTCTGCCGCAGCGGGTGGTGCGAGTAGCTTGACAATCATGATTCTTGCCCTCGCCTACAGTTTCCCCTTGCTCGTCAACGTCTGGGCATTCTATCGAATAAGCGGTGGCCTCTTCAATCCTGCTGTGCGAACTCCCCCTTTTCGTCACAACAAAAGCACAGCCTTGTCAATCGTACAATGTTCTGACAGAGATGTCTTACAGGTCACCCTCGGCTTGTGCGCTTCCGGACAGCTTCCATGGCTCCGTGGCGCCTTCCTCGTCCCTGCCCAACTCCTGGCCTGCATGTGCGCAGGCGGCCTTGTACAGGCAATGTTTCCGGGAGATGTGAGCCAGGCCAATACAATATTGTCGGGGGGCACAAGCATTGTCCAAGGACTGTTTGTGGAAATGTTCTTCACGGCAGAGTTGGTCTTTGTGGTTCTCATGCTGGCCGTCGAGAAGTCAAAGGACACGTTTTTGGCACCAGTTGGTATTGGTCTGGCACTCTTTGTCGCCTTGATTCCTGGTAAGTGATGAAGTCTCCACCTGTCATGATCGGCTTGAGATCCACAACTGCAATCATAACATCTCTGATGCTGGGTGGCTGGGCAAGCTATTGCTTATGTGTGAATCAAATGCTAACTATCGTCAAGGCACCTTTTTCACCGGAGGATCCCTGAATCCCGCCCGCAGCTTCGGGTGCGCTGTAGCTGGAAGAAGCTTCCCAGGCTATCACTGGATATATTGGCTTGGGCCGGCACTTGGCGCCCTGCTTGCGGCTGCATACTATCGCTTTGTGAAATGGGTTCACTACGAGGAGGCCAACCCGGGCCAGGATGAGGCACATCCAGATGTTTGAGTACACACATATTTGAATTATGTTTCGGCGTTGCTAAGGGGAGGCATTCTTACAAATTAACTCATAGCACAGCCAGGATATACTTAGGGTTAGAATTTTAGCAGAGTCTCGCGAGTCGAAACAAGGACGAAATTGAAATCCTTACATGACAACGCTAATCATCGTGGCATTGAGAAAAGGGACCCCGCGAGTTGCAAGCAATGTAGCAGATGAATGTGTCTTATTACATAAGGTACGTCGTATTATATGAGAACAAGATCATAGAGAAAGAGTTTCTTCTCGTTGCATCCCCTTCCGTCCCATCAACCGCCTATTATGCAATCATATGCACGGCGACGAAATTCCCATCCAGTCTAATCAAATACCCAAGCTCGAAATAATGAAGACGTGTAAGGAAATCATTAGGGTATAATGCAATATCCATCCAGGGCCCTTCCCAAATAAACCGGAGATCAGTAGTGCATCTGACCCAGAGTCTCTATCCATCCAAGGGTACACAAACCAGCGCCGACCATGACATCACCCCTTTTATGTGTAGTAGATAATGATGCAAGCTAAGAACAGACCAAGAACGAGGGGCGCAAAAGCCAAGTAGAGAAATACTTTGACAAGAAATGCAAGCCGCCAAGGTTGCAAGCACAAAAAACACATGAACATACGTCTCTCTATCAATCACAACCCCATTCTTAAAGCCAACACAAAATGCAAAAGAATCAAAGTATACCGTAGGAAATTGAATGAAAGGATGAGAGATATGCCAAAGAGCCAGCCTGTAACCGATATACCTAAGCCATTGTCCCATAGATAAATCAAGCGAGGCGGCAGAAAGTTGTAGTTCTGCTTGAGGGGAATCGAGTGCGAGATGACGTCTCGCTGATATGGAACCAGACCAACACAAGCGCGTGGTGTTGCTACCCCATCTGATGATGATGGCAAAATGGAACTTTGTTGTCAGGTATCTGATGTGTAGCGAGAACGAAGCATATTGTTTAGCAGGTGTATGCCCGGAACCAAGATGTTGCCACGCGACAACCTCACCAAGTCAGAAAAAGTCACTCCAATGACCAAGATAAGACGCATATTGGTGTGGGCAGATCAGGGTGGTCGTCTCGTATCAAGGCATAACCTGCACCTCGGCGTCCCATCAAAGCATGGTCGATCTTCAGCGTAGCATCCGAAGGAAAGACATGCGGGTACTGATTGAAAGGCCTAGACCGGCAGTTGATTGTTTCGCACATCCATGTGATGGTCGCCTGTGATTTGACGGTGCCTGCGGACCCGACTGATGTCCTTCAAAGCACGGCTTGGGCCGTCCGCCATCGAACCCGAGACAAACAGACCGGGGAAGCGCCGCTAGTGGTCTGGCCCATCTGCATCCAACCAGCCAAGAGAAGCCGTCCTCGCATGGTAGTTAACATAGGACTAAAACGGCGCAGGTTCTAAGCCATCCGGCTGACGCATATGATATGCGTCATGCATGTTCTTCCCGTGCGCCTCGGACAAAGTACCGTAGCGCCCTACCCTGGAGAGAGAGTATCTGGAGGCAACAGCAGCCGCCACACCCAACCCACGAGATGCACAGCCGCAACCCAGCACTTCCTCCTCGTGACAACCAATCAGGCGCATGGATGCTAACTCGTGGACATCCACATGAGGCAGAGCTGCAGGCAGCCCGTGAAGAGAAATGGAGGTGCAACACGGAGAGATAGGATGTTTTGGCCAAGGATGTACATTGGTGAACCATGACTTCGCTGCTGAGAATGCTGCAGTTATCATAGCGTAGCATGCCAGTGTAATGACTTGCCCAAAGGTAGGTACCTTTGTATGATTTCTTGATATGACTGATCGCAGCAGACCTGGACTTGTGAAAAGGGGGGGTCTCGGGATGTGCCTAGACCGTCGTAGAGGAGGGTGGTGATAGATCCCGATTGGCCTGCGGCGTAGCACATGATAGGCTGCTGCCCACCACCAAATGCAAAGCTGGAGATCCACCACAGCTCTGATGAGCAAGCAAGGGCGGACTTGAGGCCGGAAACCGAGTATGGTAGGGTGAAATTCCCTTGAAGTAAGGCAGGTTGACAGGTAGGTATGATTGAACTCGTCAGGGAGACGAGGGCAGGTGGTGGGCCGATGGACGGCTGCGCAGGCAAGAGAAATAGAGATAGAGGAGGAGAGTGAAGCAGGAGGCCGTACGTTTGAAACCACCAGAGACTCTCAAGTCAAAGAAAGAGACTTAGAGGCGACTTTTCCATAACGACAACAACAACAACGACGACGACGACGACGACGACGACGACAGCGGCATGACGCAGTCTCCGCATTCCTGGCTCACACCTCAACTGGGATCGGTTCACACGCCCCCAGGTCAGCCACTCCATCAGCCAGTCATACGGCTGCTCATGCTCGCTGGGCACTCTCCCCATACGCCCCGCTGTAGACTCCGTGACCAACTCCGTGATGGGCGCTATGGGCTGCGCCGCCATACACCCCTGTGCTGGTGTCGACCCCGCTGTAGTCCCAGCGACCACTATGGCTTTGAGGCACTTGTCCATGGTGGGTGTTGTGCCCCTGAGGTAGGCCGTAGGGGCTGGTCAAGTTCTGGCTGCCGCGGGTGTCGTAGACGGCTGGTAAGGTTGAGATGCGCAGACTGGAGGTCGGGTTGGGGGATGCTGGCTTGAGGCCAACCACTGGGGACAGTGTCCTTGACACAGCACTGCCTGGGTATGCTGGCCATGCTGTTGATGTGCTTCCAGGGAGCGAGCGTGGTGATGGGATTGTATCCGCCATAGAGCCGTGGCTGCCGACTCCGGCGCTTATGTAGCCAGTCGCCGATGTTGGGTCTGTCGCCGTAGTGGTCGACCCTGGCGTGGGAGGCAAGGGATAGCTTGCACCGCTCACGCTCACTGGAGTGAGGAGATGGGTCGGTGTCGTGGGCGGAAGAGTCGATGAAGGTGAGGCACTGTATTTGCCAATGATTTTCTTCAGGGCCTGTCCCAGGATTTTCCAGGGAAACACCTTGACGTCCTTCTCAATGTTTCTCGGCTTGGGGTTGCCAAAGCCCATGATGATCTTGAAGAACTCCTCGCTATCCGCCTTTGCCTTGGACACAGTCAGTGGCTTGAAGCCTTCCAGATTGCGGCGGATCCGGTTCTTCTCCTCGACGGTGAATCGTGCCGGTGCTGCGACGAGCTGCTCAAGCAGATGAATTGTGTCCACCGAGGTGACGAAGCATTCTTGCTTCTCGGCCCACCAGATGCAGGAGATGCAGATACTGTTCGGCGGCCTCTCATTAACGGACACCGGCCGGAAAGAAGCGTTGAGCCTGCTGCCAACCTGTGTCTTCTTGAAGATCACAATTCTGCGCCTATTGTCCCATTCCTCCTGAGTCCAGTCCTGTGCCATTGAGTCAAGGTTGCCCTGGATTGTAAGCACCGCCTTGGACGAATACAGCGCGTACGGGTTGTACGGGTTGCTGCTCATGCCGGTGCCGGGGCCGCTTTGTTGAATGGTGCTGGTCCGGATCAGCTGCGGTGTACCCGCATTCGGAGCGGGCAGCGAAGGTGTGAGACCCGGACGAGTGATGCTCGTGTGTGACGATGGCCCGTACGACCCGGGGCTGCGGCCATCCAGCCCGCCATAGGTATTCCATCCACCAACACTGTGATGAGGCGAGCGGAGAGCGGACGCGCCCCGGTGATAGTGTTGGTGGTGGTAGTTCGTGGTGCGGTATGCTCCAAGCATCGTATCGTTGCTCTGATTATACGCCGTTGATGGCGTAAAGGAGTTCTGCCCCTGGGCAACCCCGGTGGGCGGATAGCCAAAGGTATTTGTAGCCTCATCTGACGGCCCGACCGGCGTGAGCTGCTGGCCGTGATGTTCGTTCGTAGGGCTCGTGGTGGCGCTCGTGCGGACCGTGAGTTGCGGCGGGCTGGCCCGCTGTTCATGTTCAGGTGACCGGCTGCCTCTCCGTGTGACTGACCCGTTGTTGTCATGTGGGCTGGCGGTCCCGGAGGACACACTTGCCTGTGCATCGGTGTATGTAAAGGATCCCGCGGACTCGACGCGTGCAATCTCGTTTCCTTCTGAACTCTCGATGATGAGCGACACTGGCACGTTTGAAGGGCTCTGCCAGTTCGTGACCATGTAGTTCGGCGCATCAGTTGTGATGTTATACGTGCATGCGCCGCTGGCATCCTGGCCCTCCTTCATGATATGCGCCGAGCATCTCTGGTCGCCAAAGATTACCCAGCAATAAGGAGCCGTGGGCGTCATGGTCATCAAGTCATATTGGCTCTGGATTTTCAGGAAAACCTTTGTGCCACCTTGTCCGCAGCTGGGCTGGCTGCCGAGGTAGGTGATTCCCGGTGCTGAGAACGACGGCGCATTCATGTACTGTGCCTGAGCATTTGCGGCGGCTGCAGCAGCATTATTGGCCGCAAAAGCCATCTGATTAAGCTGAGATGCAGCATTTTCCGTCTGCGGTAGTTGTGTTTGCGAGGCAAAGGAGGATGCACTGTACTGGGAATATGGAGATTCTGCAAATCCTAGAAGGGGTCGGATGTTAGTCTTACTCCCCGACACTGATGCTCACCGTTCCCCATCAGGTCCTGCAGCAGCGCAGCTATAGTGAGTAGACATACCGTGGATCTGGGGTGGTTGGGCCTTATAAGCAGACATTGAGAGATGGAGGCCGGGGGAGTCGGCTCGTAGGCCGCCCTCTGCGCCTCCGCTACTGCGGCCAGCTGCCTCCTCTTCGTATCTCAAAGTCACAGTTTCTGGTGATTCAAGAGCCTCAGAGTCGACAATTATTGGTCTCTGCGAATGGTATCCGGGCTATTGGCCGGGTTACATCAGCATGGGCAAAGTCAACGTACGTGCGATTGCGAGGGTTGTAAGTGGCTAGACCTCAGCTACCGGCGCCATCGCTTCTGTCAAAGCCCTCTGCGTAGTCCGCTGAGGACCTGTGCCGAGATCTCTTACAGCGCGTGCGGCTGAGAAGTTACACAGGCAACAGCTTCGAATGAGGCAGCAAACACCACTCTTTGCCGTTCAGGGGCGGAATTGTGGAGGCTGTGCAGGAGGCTGAAAATTGACACAAGGTGATATGGGCAGTTGAGTGGATCAGTGTTTACTCACCTCGAATGCCTTGTACATTGGTTGCTCAAACTTAGCAGCAGACATTCAGTCGATCGCTCGCCCTTGGCGGGACACAACTTTGCAGCGGATTGAGTCGGGAATGAAGTAGTTCAACAGAGCCGTCGAGACTGTCTCGGGAGTGATAAGCCGTAGACGAATTATGCAGCCTGTGAATTCAAAACTGTGAGTACTTTCCGCGTGTGTTAAGCATGTTCCACAAATAAGAAATGTCTTGCAATAGTTCAGCGATGCGGATTCAGCAAGGTCCGTGAGGAAATGGGAGCCTCAATGTACCAGTGGCCAGTGTGATGGGAGACCTTGCGTTTGTGGCGATTGAACCAGTTTCGAATGTTGGCTCAGCTCAAATATCGGAAAGAGCTCCCTAGAAGAGGGAATGCCGTTTTTCGAAGACTATAGCGCCACAGCTATCTTCAAGAGGCTTCGCGTCTCAGGGCTTTTGATGAGTGGCAGGCAAGGCAAGCGTGATGAAGTATCGGTCATCGGCGTAAAGCTTGTTGTGATGGCCAATGCAGTCCATGGCAAGCCAACACGGAGAGTGATGGAAAGTGCCTCCGCTTAAGGGCTGGTGTCTCTCCTTTGATCCCGTCACTCGCAGCAAAGCCCTGATTGATAAACTGTACAGGGGCCTGCGCCCATTGGGTCACGGACAGATGTTGACAAACTGACTGAATCGAGTCTCGGAAACTGACGCGGCCGAACCAGAGTCCGTGTTTTGGAATCTTACACGGAAGGCGAAAGCTCAAAGAAAGAGAAAAGCGCTTTTACTGACCTATCAGAATGTCGGTCAGCGGATGGGTACGAGAATGAGAGAGGCGACTGAACAGGGATGATGAATGCAACATCTTTTCCCAGAGCTTCCAGCGTCCAGATGTGACTGTAAACCTCATATCGGGACGAAGTGTGCTTGGGAGCTAAGGCTCGGTCGGCTCGCAAGCTAGGCGAGTTTTCATAAGGGTGAAATGTGTGGAAGTGATCATACCTTGGGGCACTTTCCAGCAAGCGAGTTCAACGAAGGTTTTGGGTCCGGTTGCCAGTTCGTTGTGTAAGTGGTTCTCGACTATGGGAACGAGATTAAATCGTATGCATGTATCCCGAACCTGTTCGCATGAGGCGAGTGTTAGTGGAGGCGTCAACGAGGAATCTGCTGCAAACGGAGGGTTGAACATGCTGCTACCCGTGAACAGTTCGTCCGAAGTGGATATGAACTGGTCAAACGGGCTCAGTAGCAAGACACAAGTAGGACCATGATAGTGTCGCGTCTGGAAGGGAAGTAGGGGACAGGCATGCACAGATACATACGCAAAGACAAGGAAAGAGGCAACACCATGCAGAGTGCTTCTAAACGGCTATCTGCTAATACACGCAGCAAGGTTTAGTTCGGAGCCAGTGCCAGGGTAGGAGGAGCAAGAGAAAGACAAAGAGCGAGGAAGGTGGTTCAGAAAAGTAAGACGTTGTCGCTGATGATCAATGATGATGGAGAGGAGAGGATGCAGAGGTAAAAGAGGGAAAGGAAGCAAATGCATGCGTGGATGTGGTTGGCATCTGTGAAATCGTGGTGGCCGCAGGTGGTCGATGAGATATGACGAGAATGCCTCAGAGGCCGTCAAGACTTGACCATGGCATGCATTTACGCGGTGATCAAGCTACCAGACCATCCCTCCCTTGATGCAGCTAGTGTGCCGCCTTTGCTTCTGCCCTCCCGTTGGAGTGGGGAAAGGGAAAGGGAAGGGAAAGGGAATAGCAAGATACAAGATAGGTGGATGTACCGTATGCACGCTGACTTGAGGTGAGTGTGTGCTTGCTTGCCGCGTACCTCTTCTTCTTCTTCTTCCTCTTCCTCTTCTGCTGTTGCTGCTGCTACTGCTGCTGGCCCCTCGTGCTATGATCCTATGAGAGGTGGGTGGGTAGGAGGATGTGTAGGTAGGTATGTGACGGGTACCCCGTATCTCAGTCACTATCACGGAGAAGCAGGTGACGTCCACCACTGGTGGTAGTGTCAGTCCGTCCGTATTCTAGTGGGGACCACGCAACGAAGGAGCTGTACTGGGGCTTGATACTGATGCTGGTGCTGGTCTGGTGCTGGAGCTGCCGTTGCTGGAGGGGGCGGCGTTGGGGGAACGGTCCCATTGTCTCTGAAAGGTTGCAGAGTATGCAAGGGTTGTTGATCTGAAGGGAGGGGAGGACGGGGAGGGAGGTCGGTAGGTTAATGAGGGCCGGCCGGGAGTCCAAGTCATGGGGATGATGGGCCGGATGGGAAGGGGGACTTGGGGTAACAACCAGCTGAGCACTTGACACAGCTCAGGGTACTACCTTACTTCACCTTGCCTTAACCTTGCCGTAAGGTAGAGCAGAGCAGAGCAGAGCAGACCGGTGGTGGGGACAGGAGGTGGATGCCATTATTGGGTTGACAGTAGTGCACATTTGCGAGGATGGCGTCTTGACGGTACGGTAGGGCAGGGGACAGGGGAACAGGGGCCGGGGGCCTATGAAGCCGCGAGCCAGCCCAAGCCAAGTCAAGCCAACCTGGCTGACGGTGGCTCGATTCGGGCAGATCGGGACAAGGAGGGCAAAGAACGGCATACGTAGTGTAGGGCCAAGGTGAAATGTAGCTATGTAGGCATGTAGATGGTAATCACTGTGGTGCATGTGTTGTAGGGCGCTTTGACATGCCATGCATGCATGCATGCCCTGAGAGGTGCGCGAGCACAGACAGGTACGGCCAAAGCAAGGGCAAATAGATATTGCAGCGCAACAAGGGCAGCAGAGCAAGGGCTACGGGCGAGTAAGGGCTGATCTATCTAGTCTGATAAATCCAGTAGGTATGTGTGAGAGAGCACGCGGGGGCTGTTGCTGGCTGTACTCGTCGTACTGCGCTCTAGCTGGGATGCACGCCGGCAGCTATGCCGTAGCGTAGGACCAGGGGGGGAGGGAGACCAGGAAGCAGGAGTAGCAAAAGCAGCAGAAGCAAGGATTGAGAATGGA